ACACCCTCAAGAAGAAAGAGAGCGAATAGAAATGCAATTGTTTCGGATTGAAAGAAAGAAAAATTCAATAGAATTTTATTTTTTTATTCCATTTTTAAGTGAGTATCGATACTCTCCTGGCTTTTTAAATATTTTACATAAAAATTTCAGGTTTAATGATTGGTTCTACGATGACAAATCGATTTACGGAATTCCATGAAGAGAAAAAGAATCTGTCACCGATAGCTGGTTATTGGGCGTACCCATTGGTTTCTCTTACACAATCATTATCGAAGGTCACCGATCAAATCAATGAGCTAAATCGTTCGATTAGCGAAGCAACGAAACGTTGCCATTATCCATCGGAACATGGTCTTAGTCGTGATGAATCAGCGGCAATTTTATTATATACTATGGAAGCTGGCGAGTATAGCTTCTATATTGCATTGAATCAAATATTGCGTGATGAAAATCGAAAAAGAGCGGTACCCTGGTTCTCGTACTTGAGATTATTCGATAGTGGCCTAAGAAAATTACCCACAGTGAAAGGCTGTATTTGGCGTGGAGTGTCGCACGATATATCCTATGAATATCAGAAAAATGATGTATTAACTTGGTGGAGTATTACTTCTTGCTCATTGGCGATCGAAGTCGTGGAAAGTTTTCTAAACTCAGAGAAAAATTCCACCTTATTTATGATCGAAGCCGCCAATGCAAAGAACATTACTGATTACACTTTATTTCCCACTGAAGAAGAGGTGATATTACCCATGGAGACCAAATTACGCGTGCGCAGTAATGCGATGAAGCATGGCAATCTACGTGTCATTCATTTAGTGGAAATAACTGATGGCGTTGAAGAAGTGTCGCCAGCAATGGATGCCGCGTGTATTACATCCAAACCCTCCATCCCAGCGAAGCCATTTAGTAAGTTTCTCACTCTATATTTTCCTATATAGAACTAAGGTACCGCATAAATAATTGTTGAGAATAAGAGTGAGTGCATATTTGCTGCTCTGTTTTCTAGTAAATGAATTTAAATTTAGGATTGGTTAGATCTCTGTTTCGTGAGAATGGTAAGTGATTTCTTGTATGAAAACGAGAATCAGACATCAGAAGTATCTTGAAAGCTGGTAGCAAGTTAGAATGTACCACGTTGCCTATTAATCGTCATGATTTTATGGATGTGGATAGTGGTGGGTTCTGAGGTACAGCAAGAAGAGATACCCGTTCACCCACACTCTGCTTCGAAACATTGAATGATCCGATTTTCAAGACTGATTTCTCAGAAACATGTTCCGTTTTCTGTTCATTAGATCAAGATACCGCATAAGGTAGCTCAGAAGTGAGCACTAGAATTAAGGTATCACAACCTTACAATCATTCTCTTACCACATTCAACTGTATTTTCCAAACTTTACTTGTGATCAGAGTGCATGCACAATCTCTGCAACAATTCCCTTAATTGATAAAACGATAAGTAATGTTTTCTTTCTGCTAGTCATCTCCAAATAGCACTAATTTGAACATCCCTCTTGATACGAAAACGCATTTCAAGAAATGAATCAATTCAGAGACTATGTTCCTTTGAATAATGGAATAAGTTGATCATCCATGATAAAAGATGAAAGTTGTTTAGGTGTGCGGAGAGATCCTAGATGTGACATATCTGTGAAAAAAAAGTATTCTTCTTCTTTTTACTAGACATCCTTCATATTTTTAGAAAAAAATACTATTCTTAAAGTACTTTGATTTTCAACATAACGTGTTTGATGCTTATATTAATGGTGAATTCACTCTAAATAACTATTCTGGTACACTAATAACTGAAATGAGCTGTGAGCGTGTCATAATGAAAGTTCTAGTGCTTTAAGAGTAATAATGCCATCTAAAAAAGTGAACATAGCCCTAAATTATGTCTAATATCACTGTTTAGAGTGGTTGTGCTCCAGTAACGAAGAAAAACGTATTGGTTTAGTACTCGATATCGTTTTGTACAGGATCTCATGGCGAATCTTCTGGAGAAAGATAAAGTCTGAACAATGACAATTGTACAAGACATCAACAAGATACTGAAAATCTAGTCATTCTGCCATGTCCGTTATGTTTTGTTTTTATGATTAAAATTTCTAAGCTTATAACTTTCTTGCTATATGAGCTAGTACGGTCAGTCAAAAAACCAGTTTGTAGAGTATGTTTTACTGTATCTTTTCGTCAAAAAGACAAGTTTAAAGTTAAGTGTTTTATTAAAGAAAAATTTACTATTCAGATCCTGACTGAGCATCTAGGCTACCCTATATCGTCAATACGAACTCATTCAGATGTCAATAACATTGTTTGCTTTCTTTTAGATGCATCACAACTACTTAAATCCAAGTATGTTTCTAATGTACTAACGCCAAAATCAGAGCCACCGAAACCAGGTATGTTGCTTAAAATGTGATAGTCATTTTCGTTAAAAAAATACTTCATTGGTTCTAGCACTTGTATTGTACTAGATGGCAGGTCATCTCGGTCGACTATGCACAAATTAATGCTACAACAAAGGAATTCTTTCACACTGATAGAACATATGGATCCCTTTTGAAACGACTATGAGTAATTTTTGGTTGCACATTTTTTTCTGTAATGCACGACAGCGTCGAATATCTACTCAATCCAACATTATCTCACACTCATACTCCTAAGCAGTGTAGCGAACAATTGTTGACAGCGAGGAAGATTGACACCGAGTGTGTCACAAAGCTTTGAGATGGGTGTGGATGTATCTTTCCATAACATTCATCCACACCTACTCCCACACTCTCATTAATCATTTTTTTTCTCTTTTACTGTCGAAAATGCGATCTCTTCCTCTATCAAGTGTATACACCATTCAAATAAAGATAAGACATTGTCATTGCCACGCTTTCCTCCACATTCAAAATAAAACTACTATTATAATATTCCTTATAATTTTAAAATTCTCATAATAAAAAAATGGTGATGATTTTCAAATTTCTAAATAACTTAGATTCCACAATGGTGAAATTCTTGAAACTAGTTATCCCAAAAGTTTCCATTGTAGTACAGCAGAAACTCTTTGTTCTATTTCAGAAACTTCCAATGTCTCGAAGATTCTAAATTCGCAAAATTCTTTAATCTATTGCATGTTAAATTGAGAAACTGTAGAGTTCTTTAATATCGACTTCTGAATCACTTTAATTATCTGCATTCTCGAAAGCTTTCTTAAAAGTGTTTCTTTGTAAATGAGAATAATTTCCTCATTGCCTGGTCCTATGGTCCACTTCTATGATAATTTCGAGTTTGCTACGATCCTCTGAATAGACTTCTTATAAAACCATCGTCTGCGTTTTGTATGATTTTGTGATTGTATACTCTTTTTATTTAGAACTTCAAGAATTTGCTCCACCTGGCACGTGCAAAGAACTTTATTGTGAAGGTCGTCCTTGTGCCAAGTGCCACGAGTGTCGTGATTGGCATTTTACTGATGATCAAGATCAATGGGATTGGGTCTGCAATTGGAGAAATTGGATGCAGGTGGATAAGGATCGTTGGTACAATGTTGCTGATAAGCTTTTTACGAAACGTGATGGTGCAACTTGTTATCATCATTCACTTCGTGATTCTTATTATGATGACGTATGTCTCTGTGAGAAACACTAGTTTTTCTTATATTACAAACATAAAACTGTGTTTTGAACAATTGTGTTGCTGAACGAATATCTATATTTGAATAAACACGAAGAGTAAAAATAAAAGCACATTTTGCCTTGCATCCGCATATACGTACAACGGGGCGACTGTGAGCAGCTCGGAGTTTTAATTGCAAGTTTTGCAATGGTACGGTGTACATTTAGTTAAAATTAAGTAAAAATCCATAAATAAAGGTCCTAAACAACATTCGACGATTTTAAATAATTTCTGTACGGCAAATTTGATCAAATACTCTTGGGGGTTTGGGTGAATGAAATAGAATATCTACAGTCAGATCTACCCACCCTGAGTTAAAGTTGTTAGTTTTTTTACCAGTCTGAAGCAGTAAAGTAATGTGCAAACAGGAGCATCCGAAGAGAGGCCGAGCAAGAAGCCATACGCTCGTCTCTTAGTTTCCCGAAGAACGCGTAAAATTACAACGTGCAATTTTAGTCACATATTGTGGTAGCCACTGAAAGGTAAGAAAGAATTTCGCTTCTAAAGAAAAATAATACATCGATGTTTTTCTTCTAACTATGGTGCTCTTTCACAAATCCTCCATAAGTTGTACTGTTAGAACGTCGTAATAGGTGTTCAGTGAAACCATAGGTATCAATGCCATATTTTGAAAATATATCCACACAACTCTGATACTAACAGCGAATACATGTATGATAGTCAAATCTTGTACCTTTAAAGGGTGTAAATATTGACGTCATATCACACCCTCACCCCCGTTATTTCTTAATATTTTTTCAAAAACTCTTGTTAAAGAGGAAATAAAACATTTATCTGTCAAGCCTAACATCTCACGTTATCTGCTCATTTTTTACAGAGATACTAAAGATGAAACATGAGCTTTGAAAAAAACCGTTCTCATTAGATAGGTATATATGCTACTCATCTATGAATCTCTAAGAAAAGTATGAACTTCTTCGATTGTATAAACTATCTTTTTCTAGGGTTTAAAGATTGCAAGCAGTCTTTTACGTTCTCGCTAATAGAATATTTATAGTCAACATGGTTGAAGTATGGTTTCAACGCGACCAAAACGCTCCGACCAAAATCAATATAGATCCTGATTTAAATATTGATGATTTAAAACAAAAGATTTTTGATGCGACTGATAATGAGGAATATCAGACGACGTACAGCGGTAAACTATTAATACCATCAGTGAAAGTTCCACAGAACACAACTAATGAAATGCCAATTGTATTTACTACAGTTGTCAATGCACCATCTTCAGGTAAGTCAAATTGTTTTTCTTAGTATTACTTCCATGGAGTTAAAATCGGAATATTGAAAATTGAATAGACTTCTATAGTACTCCTAAATTATGCTTAACTAAATGAAAAAATTATTATAACGGTTAACTATGAATAAAAACTCAGGGATATAAGATATCAACACGAGGGTATGGGTGAGTATTGCTTTTCTTTCTCATACACACCCATACTCTCACGATATATACGAGAAGATAGAGCGAGAAGAAGAAAAGAAAAAGAAAAATATATCTCAATGACATTATGACACTAATATTTTCATTTAGAATCTCTAGAATTTGCTACACCTGGCACTTGCAAGAAACTTTATTGTAAAGGGCATCCTTGTGCCAAGTGCCACAAGTGTCGTGATTGGCATTTCACTGGTGATCAAGACCAGTGGAATCGGGTTTGGAATTTCGGAAATTGGAAAATTGCGGACTGGTATCGCTGGATCTGTGATAATTATTATCAGCTTTTTACGAAACGTGATGATGCAACCTGCCGTCTTGGTGATCTTCGTGGTTTTCGTTCTTCTGGTTTTCGTTCTATAATTTATCATCTTGATATTAGTCATGCATGTCTTTGTGAGAAACACTAATTTTTCTTCTATCGGAAACAGTAAAAACCTATTTTCCACAGTTCTACTCCTGAACGAAAATTTATATTTGAATAAACATGAAGAGTAAAAATAAGACACATTTTCACCTGCAGCCGAGTATGCACACAATGCGAGCAGTCGCTTGGGAGGGAGCCGAAGCCACCGACCATCTTGAGATGTGTAAGTGTGGATGGGCGTGAGCGCTGGATATAATACTGACACCCACACCCATCCTCAGTTGTTGGAGATACAAATAGAAACATATATATTACAGAACTTGGAAGCAATCGTATCATGCGATGAATGATAGGATCAACTTCAGGTATAATCATTGCAGAAGGTTCAGCATATGGAGTATTACCAAATCAATTGTATTCTTCATATAATAATAAATTAGACCCAAGCGGAGCTCTTATTTTTGCTGATCCTGACAACAATGATATTCAAAAGTTCTCCATTTCATGTGGTAAGTTTTAAGCATGTAATTATTTTATCAATATTATAGATACATGATAGCAACATCATGGATTAAAATTTTTAATGTTGATAAAAATGATTTTCTTAGATACTTACGTGAGTCTATGAATATATAAATGTGAAATGATAATGAGATATTTATAGATTGATTTCTATCAATGATTTATTATATAATAATGATTTCGCAGAACAAGAAAAACTTTATAGTAAACAAATTATTTCAAAATTTAGATAAATCAACAACATGAGAAAGAGTGTCACTCGCTTGTATTGTTATTTGTTCTCAATGGCTATTGATAACTTTTTCTTTAATTATTATTATAACGTATAACTAGGGTGGCTGTTATCTTTCAAAACCAGTTCTTAATTATGCTTTCAATATCTAGGCTTTCATTGCTTTTTGTCTGATCAATATATTTAATAAATTAATGATCTCATTACAGAACTTTGTAGTTGTTCATACCTATTTATATGAACTGTATGGTACATAAAATAGTGTTTATTAGTTGTATATGTATTGAACGAGAAAGATAAGAAGAAGAAAAAACAATGGATGATCGAACGTATAGGAAGTGACTGACATTGATATGGTTTATCAAATCGAAAAACAGATTGATCTATATTTTAACGAAAGGACACATACAATTCGATAGCTTCCACTTAATTCAATTTCTCATACTTGACATATTGGAAAACAACAGAGTTCTGGTTTTCTATGGATTGTCAATCTTAGGTGTTGCACCTTGAGGGCGAGGGAGTATCAAGCTGTCATGACCGGCTTCGCCCTTGCCTTAGGAACTCATCAGACAGTTTAGTCTATTTTACTTTGTCAAAAATCGACGAAATTGGATAAGATGAAGAGGTTGTAGTTATATGGTGTTATGTGTGAGTTGTGAAGAACTAGTTTATATGAAGTGATTTTAAGCAAGAATATTTTATGTTTCTTGAGATACGTGAGTTAAACTCTGATCGAATGTATGAGATGAACCATAACCTGATTCAGAAGTTACAGGTTTCGAACGAAAGAAGCAAGTGACGAAAGGAATATGAAATATATTTATTGCTAAAATTATCAAGTTCATTGTTCGAAACTGGTAGATTTATTTCGTTTAAGTGATGTGTGGACCTTTAGTTTTATTGGTTAGTAATAGTATTCGAGTTGGAAGTTTTCTTTGTTTGTCTTCGTTGTCGATTTAATGACAGAAAACTTCATGATATGTTTGTCATTCGAAAAATATAATTTACTTA